ACAGTCGCAGTGTGTACGTGGGGATCCTGGGGGCACTGTGTAGTGGGCATCTGTGCGAGGGACGCAGGCTCGCCAGGCTAGTGGTGTGGAAGGGATCTCAGGAGTCCTGAGGTGTGGGGCCCTGGGTACGTGGAGGTCCAAGAGTGCTGTGGAGCATGGGGTCGCCGAGGTTGGGGGGGTGCGGGAACCCCTGGGGCCCGGAGCCGTTGGTAAACCCCTCCCCCTGCTTTAGCGCCTCCACGCCGGAGTCGTGGGCCAAGTTCACCCGCGACCATCTGTACCGCGCGGAACGCGAGCGCCTGGCCTCCATCAACTTGCGGCAGCTCATTGATTGCATCCTTCGGGACACGTCGGAGGACCTGCGGCTACAGTGTGACGCCGTCAACCTGGCCTTCGGGCGCCGCTGCGAGGAGCTGGAGGACGCCAAACACAAGCTGGACCACCACCTGCGCAAGGTGCGCGCCCAAGACCCGCCCTGGCCATGCCCCATCAGACCAACCCTTCCCATCCACGCCCACACCGACATGGCCACACCCACAACGACCGGACCACGCCCAGATAACCACAGCCCCACCCTCACAGACAAGGCCACGCCCAGACTTGTCCGGGATGCCCAGGTTCCGGCACTACCACCACTTCCTGTGAGGCACTTCTGACCCCGCCCTCTCTACACCGCTGCAAAGCCTCAGGCACTTGTACAGTGGTGGGAGCGGTGCGGGCTGGGCCCTGGCCAGGGAGATGCCTGGCCGCGCAGCCACGCCCTGGGCCCAGGCTTGGCCGTGGGACTCACAGGCTCGGTCCTGCCACAGACGCTGCGTGAGATCACAGACCAGGAGCACAACGTGGCGGCCCTGAAACAGGCCATCAAGGACAAGGAGGCGCCCCTGAAGGTCGCGCAGACCCGACTCTACCAGCGCTCACACCGACCCAACGTGGAACTGTGTCGAGATGCCGCCCAGTTCAGGTGCGCATCCCAGGAGGTGGCTTCTCATTTCCTGGCCACCCCGGAACCCCCGCAACACACACGGCACACACTGCATGCTGCAGACATTTAGAGAAAAGGCAGTGGTTCCCCCACTCCCTGGCCACCACACAGACCAGGCACACAGGCACGCTTACACACACACACACACACAGATGAGACACAGACACAAATGTGACACACAGACACGCTTACACACACACAGGTCATACACACCCACACAACATACATGTCCACCCTGCCCAGCGTCAGACACCAAGTAAGAGGAGGGACCTGGATGGCACACCCACATGGTCTCCCTTCACCCAGGGAGGGGTCTTGAGGTCAAAAGCACAGTTGCCTGAGGCCACAGAGTAGAGGGACCCCCCTGCCCCCCCCCATTGCTCACAAGGCTGATGGGTGTGCCTTCTGTCCATGGCATGGGGCGTGGAAGGGACCCTGCCTTTCACTGTCCTAATCTATCAAGGCCAAATCTCACCCTTGGCCACTTCTCCCTCCACACCCGGCGATTGGAGAAATGGCCACATCTGAGGGAGACAGAACAAAGGCTGCCATTCGTTGGACCAGCCACCAGATGTCACTGTTGGACACAGGCTCCCCCTGTGGCCCTCCTCCAGAGGGTGCCCCCACACTAGCACGCATTAGGGCCAAGGGTGGCACCTGGCCTCAGTCCACTCTTCCCAGCACTCTGGTGGGCTTCTCTCTGGGGTTCTTGTTCCCCTCCCCCCTCCTTGGAATCTTTTTTTTGCTGAACACTTTGCAAGGAACCCTCGTGGCTTAGTGGTTACAGGCTGGCTGCTTGCTGCAAGATCAGCAGTTCAAAACCACCAGCTGCTCCTCAGGAGAAAGACGAGGTTTTCTACCCCCATAAAGAGTTAGCCTCGGAACCCCTCAGGGGCAGTTCTACCTGTCCTACAGGGGGGTTCTCTGTGAGTCAGCATCGACTCCACGGCAGAGCAGCCTTTTCACCCTGGCTCTCGCCCATCCAGTGCTGTTTACCTGCTGAGCCTCTCTGCCCCCGTAGGCTGGTCAGCGAGACTGAGGAGTTGCACATGTCCCTGGCGGCACTCAAGGAGAAGCTTCTGGAAGCGGAGCAGTCGCTCCGAAACCTGGAGGACACGCGCATGAGCTTAGAGAAGGACATTGCTATCAAGACCAACAGCCTCTTCATCGACCGCCAGAAGTGCATGGCCCAGCGTGCGCACTACCCCACGCTCCTCCGGCTGGCCGGCTACCAGTGACTCAACCCGCACCTTGGCCCTGCTGCCCCCAATAAAGAGTCTGTTGCTTACTGTGGGAGGCCAGGTATCCTGTGAAGCAGGCACATGGGGTCTGTCAGAAGGGTGCAGGGCAGAGTGGGGCATTGTCAGGCACTGGCTCCTCTGTGCCCGCCCTCATCATGCCATCTGTCGGCACTGCCCTTCCACACTGGTCTACATCTCGGATGAGATCCTCACTCCACCCCAGCCCACTGCCGTTGGGTCGACTCTGACTCACAGGCCACTGTGTAGGACACAGCAGAGCTGCCCTCATTGGTTTCTGACACTGACTGTCTTCCTGGGGACAGATGGCCTCAACTTTCTCCCACAGAGCAGCTGGTGGGTTTGAACCGCCGTCCATGCACATGACAGTCCAGCCTGCCCCGGCAGCACCACCAGGGCTCTGGGAGAGCCTCCAGGATAGAGCAGGGCTCCCCCGTGGGAGTCTGAGGCTGTCCATCTTTTAGGGAGACGGCAGTAACTGGTGGCTCAGAGCCAGTGACCTAGCTGTGAGCAACCCACTCAACCTGCTGTGCCGCCGAGGCTCCCAGCCCCCGTCCAAGGCCTCCTGTCTCTGAGCACGTTGGCCTGCTAGAGAGGGTGGCTCAGGCTGGGCCCCCACAGCAGTCCCATCTCAGGCCCTACAGAAAGCATTGCCCCCATCCCTGATCCCCAGGGGGGAAGCTTCTCTCTCCCTCTACTCCCCAACCCCTCCCCCTCTCAGCTCCCCAGGGTGAGCTCCTGTCCACTGCAGGGGTGCCCCCACCCTCTCCTGGCCATAGGCCTGTGGAGCTGCTGCCCCTGGAATGAGGACAGAGACCCCTCCCTGGTCAGGGCTTCAGTCCCCTCTCTGTCACCACTGGCCACGGTAACAGGTGGCTGCATGGACTGCCAGACCCAGAAGCCTGCTCTCAGGGTGTCACTGACCTCAGGCACTGTCACCTCTGGGCCGAGTGAGCCACTTTACAGAGTTGACAAGGGGCAGGGAGGCACCCGGACAAGGAGCTGTGGCCATCAGACTCTGGGGTTTCTGGCCAGTTACTGTCAAATCCAGCATGGCTTCAGGGACACTGCCCACACCATCTCCCTGCCAGTGGCCAGTACAGTGGACAGGCTCTCCCCTCCAAGGTGCTGTCCTTCCCACAGCACCCATCCCCTCCCACCAAGGCGTGAGTCGGGTAGGTGGGGGTGGAGCCCCCTCCTTGGCTCAGCAGGAATGCATCTTCCCTCCCCCACTGCCCAACCTTGGGCACAGCTGAGGGTGGCAGTGGGGTGCTGTGCCCGCCCACAGTTCCCCCCAGCTCCCAGGCCCCTCTCCATGGCAGCGGCTTACCACAAGGGCTCGTTCCAGGAGCAAGTGCCCATTCAAGGCTAAGAATTGCCCCACCCCCACTAGCACCATGCCGACTGGCTGCATGCCTCTGTCTCTGTCCCCAGACTCTGTCTCACCTTGTTCGGGACTGTAGGCTGGGCGAGGTGGGTAAGGGGAGGAAGTGCTCGGGGCGGGGAGGTCGCAGTGGCTTCCATACCTGCTATATTGACCTTTGGGCTTCCAGCCATCACAGCCTGGGGACCTCCCCTCCCTGCCACTCCCAAGGCCTCACGGGTGCCCATTTTGCTGGTGGGGAAACCAGTCGGGTGGTAGCAGAGCCAGATGTCCCCCGTCTGCCTCTGGGGGCCCAGGGGCCCATTTGACCCTCCTTATGCTGCTGCCCAACCTCAGGGACCGTGGGGGCTGGTATACTAATACAAAGCTGACTCAGAAAAAGGGCCTGGTGACAGCCAGGGTGAGGACCAGGACGAGTCAGAGTCAGAGGTAAGGGCCAGGGTCAGAGCTGCTGGACAGCACACTCCCCTGGTCTCGGAGCCCCCTCCCTCCCTAGAGGCAGCAGAGGCAGGCCCTGAGCCCTTGACCCCAGCCTCTGTCCTGGTCCTGGGTCAAGGGGCTCTGGGGCCACCTCCAGGCTGTCAGCAAGCACCCCAGGGGCCTGGGGCCTCACACCTGGGGATGAGATCTGGCAGGGCAGCCCCCACAGCCCTGACCAGCAAGACCACTGTGCTCTCCGGCCCTGGCCCTGGGGTGGGGGTCCTCCTCCCATCCTTCTACCCTCCTCCATCATCCCAATGCTAGGGCAAGTCCAAACTGGGTGGGGACCTGGGTCCAGGAGGGAGGACCAGGCAGGTGAGGAGTGAGTTGGCATATGACCCTGGCCTGCCCCCTACATACACACACACACACACACACACACGCACACACGCACACACACACCCTGTTCATGGCCTCCAGCTCCTTCCACACCTCCCACCTTGAGCCCTGGCCTCCCCCACTCCTCTAGGATGCTGCCTGCCCTGGCCTGGGCAAACAGCTGGGTTTCCACTGAGGGAAGGGGAGTAGTAGTGGGCAGTGCCAGCCCCTAGCTCTGCCAGTTCCCAGACCACAGGCTTCTGGGCATGAAGTAGCTCCTGGATATTGGGATGGGGGACCCTAGGCCCTGGGCAGAGCCAGACAGTCCCTCCCCTACCCTGCAGATGGTGGAGGACAGACCGGTGCCCAGGGGGGGCCTGCAGGCACTGCCTAGGAGCTGGGCTCCATGAGGCTGGCCAGTCTGTTGATCTTGGACAGCTTGGGGAGCCATGGGCTCCGGGCTCATGAAAGGGCCTTTCATGGGGGCAGGCAGTGGAGACACCTCGGAGCAGCAGCCACTGTGTGACGGTAAGGGGGCAGGAGGGTCTCCACAGTCCCCCGGGTGGGCTAGGCTTGGGAATCTCTGCCCCACCTGACCCCCAGGGTGGGAGGCAGCAAGGCTATGGGCAGGGTGGAACCTGAGGCTTCGTCACCAGGGCCCCTTGAGGGCCCAGACCCTGCCCACCCAGACTAGGGGTCACCAGTCCCAGCCCCCAGACCAGGGCCAACCTGAGGCTGTGCAAGGGGTCTGGCTGGACACCCCCTTCCTCAGACCATCCTTCCCTTCCCCTTCTGTTCCTCCCCTCCTCTACTCCCCTCCCACCTCCACTCTCAGGCCCCCCTAATGATGATGGCAGCCCCCATCCTGGGGCTCCTACTGCTGGCTCTGCCCTTGGGGGCCTGGCCTGGTCTGCGGCTGTCCAGGAGGCCATGTGTCCACTGTTGTCACCCTGCGTGGCCCCCAGCCACCTCCCCGTACTCCCATGCCTGGAGGAGAGGGGCTGAGCCAGGACCTTTGCCCAGAGTGAGACCCACCATCGACATCACCATCCTCAAAGGTGGGTATGTGGGGCATAGGGGGGTGAGCCAGCACCTGGAAGGTGGGGGCCCAGGCTGAAAGGAACAGGGTGAAGCAGTCCCAAAGGTCCTAATTTGGGTCAGGGTGGGCTAGAAAAGGGTCTTTGCCCTTCTGTCCTGGGGCAGGGATAGCAGGCATGAAGGTGGCCAGTGTCCACCCCCCAGTCCCACCCCTGCACCCTACTAGGAGAGAGGTAGGTGACCTGAAAGGTGCTGTCCATCCCAGCCGGCCCACCCCTGGGCCAGGCATCCCACGGACCCTTAGGTCCCCCAAAGCAGCATCTTTGTTGGGAAAAGACAACAGGAAGTATTAGGTTAGACATAGCTTAGAACTGCCCATTCTCCCCTCCCTCCTCCGACAGTGCCCTGCTCTCCACTGTCCTCCCCTCACCAGTCAGTAGGGGCAGAGGGCAGTGGGGGTGGGGGGGACTTTTTTACTGCCCATGGGAGGGGTTACCACTTCCATCTCCAAGTATGGACACAGAAGCTCAGAGAGGCATGTTACCGGTGGGTCCCAGGTTCAGGGCGACTATCCCTGAAGTGCCTGCAGAGAGTTGGGGACCCAGGCGGCCTGGCCCAGCCCTAACCTGTGCTTCCCCTGCAGGCGAGAAGGGTGAGCCGGGTGCCCGAGGCCGCTCCGGGCCCAGGGGGCAGGAGGGCCTGCCCGGCCTCCAGGGCTTCCAGGGCCACAAGGGCCAGAAGGGAGTAGCTGGGCAGCCTGGGACCCAGTGCCAACACGCTTACGCAGCCTTCTCCGTGGGCCGCCGGGAGGGCCTGCAGAGCGGGGACCGGGCGCAGGCCGTGGCCTTCGACACGGAGCTGGTGAACCTGGGACGAGCCTTTGACCTGGAGGCTGGCCTCTTCCTGTGCGAGGAGCCGGGCATCTACTTCCTGAGCCTCACGGTGCACACCCCGGACAAGGAGCTGTGGCCATCAGACTCTGGG